CTGTAATGGGAATGGCTTTATGTTTCAGATGAAAAAGAAAAAAAACCCAACAAACCAAAACCAACCACAACAACCAAAAAAAAAAAAAAAAAAAAAAGAGGAATAGCTTTGTTTCTCTTTAATTAGTCTTTACTGTGACACTTATCCTTATAGTGCAGAAAACAACAGACTTTATGTTTTTAATTGTAATGAGCAACAAATATTTTGATGGAAAGTAAAATAAGGGGAAAAAACTCCACCAAATCTATTTCAACCCAAGAACTCCCACTAAAAGCATCTGGCTTCACTGAATGCCCATCAGGAAAACATTCTTTTAGTTATATATAATCCACAGGTGAAATTCATGAATGAAAAATGTAACGTGTTTGGCAAAAAAACCCCCAAAAAACTATTTAAAAAACCAGTCTTGCTTAAATCAAAATTATTGAAAACTTAGAAGAATAAGCATCCTATTTTATTTCTACAAATCTTTTCTCTGTATTATTCTGACTGTATTTGAAAGTACAAATAAATATCAAAAGCTACCTAAGGATGTTGTTTACTTCATATTCATTGGAGAGCCCAAAAAGAGAAGAGTAAATAGAGAACAACGTTTGATTATCAACCTTTGTGAGAAACAATCCAAATCAGTCTCTGAGAGCTTCTTTCCCAGCCTGAAATGGGAACAGCTCGTATCCCTTTCAGAGAAAAATGAGTTTCCTAAAATACGTTTTCTGTCATTAGCTTTAACTCCCATTCTGAATGTGACACCTAAAATCTTTGGCATGTTTTCAAGTGATACCTGAGGACTTTCTACCTTCCCAGGAAGCAGTCAGTTGTACTCTTCCTCTTTCAGGATGTGACATCTCCTCTGCCCTCCCTGGAAAGGCACAGCACAACCCACGATGAGCAGAGCAGTCACCCTGGGTGTATCCCAGCAACTGCAGATGCAGCATATTTTTCCTGGGTGTGTTTTTCCTTATCACACCCATGCCTGCTCTGATTTGCCTTCCCAAGGAGTCAGCACAAGCCCTGCCCATATCTACAGGCAGTTCTTGCATTTTCCCACTGAGCTGCTGTGCCAGGAATGTCCTGTTTCCTCCTCCATGAGGGTAAGGAATGCCCCTCTCCCCGCTGAGCTATGATTTTAGTGGTTCAGGATTTGCCCTAGATAACCTTAACAGGGCACAGTGGATAAAGACATTCAAGGATAAATTTGTGTTTCAGTAATACTAGTGCAAATCCAGAATTATGCTGGATTTGTGTTTATCTGAGACAAGAATGTAATGTACACAGGGTTTTTATAATGCTGATGTGATGTTCTTCCATGTATAAATGAGTAAATACCAGTTTCCTGAAAACATTGCTCTTGTAGAAATTATTAAAGGACAAGATGAAAGAAAAAAAATACCTCAGCCAACTTCTAACTGGAATTACCAACCACATTTTTTTCTGATCACTTTATCTATTAATTCTGTTTCACAGCATACAGCTTCAGTCTCAGCTGGTTACCGAACTTAGATTATTCCTTTCATATTTTGCCTTCATGGAAAACACTGCCTCAAGGTCTAATTTATAAATGAGAAAGACTGTGCTGCAATTTTCAGCAATAAACAGCAAAAGTGTTGTCTATGTGAAACCACTGCAAAATATTAAATACTCTTTCATTAGACTGCAAGTTTGCTTCAATTTACATCTATCGGAATACAGCTGGAGAGCAAGACTGAGCTCAACTCGTGACTGAAGGGGATGTGCTAAGCCCAGCAGGCTGCAAGCCCTTGCAAGTCAAGGCAGAACCCTGAAGGAGGAAGCAATTTTGCCTTCATGGAAAACACTGCCTCAAGGTCTAATTTATAAATGAGAAAGACTGTGCTGCAATTTTCAGCAATAAACAGCAAAAGTGTTGTCTATGTGAAACCACTGCAAAATATTAAATACTCGTTCATTAGGCTGTAAGTTTGCTTCAACTTACATCTATCGGAATACAGCTGGAGAGCAAGACTGAGCTCAACTCGTGACTGAAGGGGATGTGCTAAGCCCAGCAGGCTGCAAGCCCTTGCAAGTCAAGGCAGAACCCTGAAGGAGGAAGCAAGAGACAACGGTGTGTGTGGTATGTTTTTTTTTTGAGAAATCATGCAGGACTGTGAGTGCCGGCGTGAGTCTGTGCAAAGTTATGATTAAGCAATGTCACTAGAAGACATAAATGTTGTGGTTCGTGCTATTTTCAGTTATAGCTGAAAAGGTATGTATACTGAGCTTTGTAATCAATAAATCAGCTTCATGCATGCGAAACGTGGAGTCCTCGTCTCTATCAATCACTGTCAGACACCCATAGAAAATTACAGTCTTCTGTGAGGGTTATTGGCCTGTGACATATTTATCTGCCATGCAGTTTGTGTCAGCAGGTAACTGAAGTCTGACTCACACAAACAGCCATGGTATCTACTACTATAACTGCCAGGAAATTGGGGCTGGAAAATAATGAATGCAGCTTTATTCACTGCATTTGATAGGAACACCCACAAGAATCTGCACAAATTTATCAAATGTCGCTCCACTGGACATCTCATCCTGTTTTAAAGACAATACTCTTGAAGATCACGAAGTTTAGTAAATTGTAATTGCTAAAAAAGGCTGTTTGGTTTTAGATAGCTCATCATTACCAAAGCAGTGCTATTTGTGGAACAGAGACTCCCTGGCATTACAAATGTTGTGACTCATAATACTTGTCTTCTAACCTCTCCCTTGAAGTGGCTGAATGTTCCAGCCTCAGGCATTCTTGTTAGGAAAACTCTGTGAAGTGTGCTGGGGAAAGTGGAGGCCATGACACCATTGAATAGAAAAAAACCTAACCAAAACAAAATAAAAACCAAACCAATAAAATAAATTATGAAATGGGAAATTGAAGTAGTAGCAAGAGGGGAAAAATAAGCTGGGGATAAAGGGGGATTCTTGTGGGGCTGGAGAGGAGGAGAGGACTGTCATCAAGAACCTCCACAGAGATTTGAAAAACGACATTTTGCTGCTTTTATCCCAAGCAATTACTCAGGAACCATCTCCTGTTAAACCATATGTGAGACAAAGAAAGCCACCCAAAGCATTAAAAATGAGAAGCAAAGATCTGTTTGGTGGACAAAACCTCCCAGAGCTCGCAAGGCAAGGCAAAAGCTTTTATTTAATGTTGTGGCTTGTTGAACACAGCTGATGTGTTGTTGTGCTTACAATAAACAGCTTTTGGGGTTTTCCAATGCCTCAGATTTGCTTCAGTGTGTTTAACCACCTGCAAAAGCTGTTTATTGCCTTTTATACTTCCCCCATCATGACCATTATCCTTTAAGTATGAGGCTTTATGGCGAGTCTAAGCAGGGCAGGGTACACAGCACCATCAAAGCTGTGTGCAAGCACAGATGAAATAAATCCATGTGAAGACTACAGACCATGGAAGTAGAAAGATAAGCTATAATAATGCAGTGCAATGATTTCACAGGCACTCTGCTGATTGTTTAAAATGCACCCTTGTTTACTGAGAGCCACTCTACAACCCCATCTGCAACTGCCAAAGGAAGATGTATGCATTCCAAGAAAATTATTAGGGATTGTGAGAGACAAAGTCAGAAAGGCTCATAAGGGGCATTGTGTGTATTTTACTTCAAAAAGCTTTAGCTAAGGTGCTTTAAAACAGCTGCAAGCATAAAAGAGCAGAACACTGAGAAAGTATTTAAATGAGAAAATGTGATATTACAGAGAGCACTTTGGCAACAGAGAAGCACTACCTGCACTTGCAAGGAATCTTTTCTAAAGAGACACCAAGACCAAGAGAAGATAATCAAGGCTTTACAGGGTAAAAGAAGATGCAGGAAGTAAAGGGTTTTACTTCCTGCAACAGGCAGAGATAGAAAGATGGTGCATTCAATGCAAATCTTTATTTTGCAAGTATTTTTACTTTGGTCAATACATCACAATATCAAAGTATGCAGCAGCTGGGTTCAAGAACAAAGACTAAAAGTGGAGTCCAGCATAACATCAAACAAAGCAGTGACAGACATATCTCACAACTGCACAAAAACTCCAGTCTCACCAGAGTTCCTGACTTCTGTGTAACCCTGTAGCCCACAGAATATAGAGAAGAAAGGCTTACTGGAAAATAAAGCTGACATAAATAATGTATTGAATGCAAAGACATAGGGCCAAATATCCTGCCTTGTCTTTAATGTCCTGAAATATTTCTCCATATAAGACATTTTACAGCTATTGACAAGAAGTTTGACAATTCTCACTCAGTAGAAATTATGAATTTACTATTCCTCTGCGTGGTTTGTTTTCCTTTTTTTTAATACCTTCCTTTTATTTAGAACTTTGTCTGTTAAGTGGCTTTTCCAAGGAAAATTCAAGTGACTATCTTACTTTTCCATCAGGCTAATTAATTAAATCATGGTATTTAACTCAGTAATAATTTTTTAACTTCCAGTGATTTCTCAAGACAACACTTACCATGTTCTACTGCAGAAACATAGACATGATAATTAAAATTATATTAAAATAATTACAGCTTCACTACATTATGCTAGTTTTTTATGCATTAAACTATTTTCTGTTTCAAATATGTCTGGCAAAAATCAGGGGTTTGTTACTCCTTAGCAGTATTTGTGCTACTTAACATTTTGTTGTGGTTTAAAGGACAGGTGTCCACCAAGGAAGGCAGAAACCTCCCTTGGAATGGAAAATGTGACCCCGTTCCCTCTGAATTATTATAGCTTTGAAATGATGGGGCTTTCAGGGAAAGATGTGGGAAAAGGAATAACAGTTCTTTACTATTTATGTGTATATGTATCTGTATGTATAACAAGGCAAACAAACAGCAGCAGCAGCAGCACCACCAAACAGAAGCACGGTCGCCCTGATTTTTTAAGATTTTCTAAGCCTTCTGATGTTCGCATTCTTGCAGCAAACTTTCTCACGGACTTTCTGTAAACACCTTATTGTTTTGCATTTTTTTATGGAAGAGCAGAAACCTGACAGACCGTTGGTTTGTCCAGCGCCATCGGAGAGCGGCACTTTCACCCTCCAATCCACCGTCACCTTCAGAAATCTATAAATGTTGGGAGTCAGAAAATAAACTTCCCTTTTTCCTGCCCTGAGAGCAGCAGCGTGCCTGTGTGGTGCTGTCTTGTGTCCTGCAGTGAGGAAGCGCGGGTGCAGCGGGGCCTGTCTGGGCCGCAGGGCCCTTCCCCGGCCTGCAGCTCCCCTCACGGCCCAGGGCCGGGGCGGCTGCGTGTGGGGAATGGCGGGCGGGTGTAGGAATGTGCTTCCTAGTGTGATAAACAGGTGTGATTCGTGCTG